GAAATATGGTATCACTATATACTTAATAATACAAGGTACCCCCATGTAATATATCCTCCCCCGTACAAGGTACCCAAATCAAATGAATTGTAAGATACCCGGGCGTTTTACGGTAGTTTATTTACAAAATTCGATTTCCTTTTTTGGTTTGTGTTACTCGCGCAAATAAGTAAACTCCCCCCTAGGTGATAAAATTCGTAGCCAATCATAAGGTTTATATTCAATATATAGACGTGATAAATTGCTGGCCCTCCCCTAAAAAATTACGTAATAAACGGCACTCCCCTAAAATTCTTTAAAGTTCATATACGTTAGGGTTAGGGCTTATATTAAGGTTAGATGTTAGTGTATTATATAGTAAGATTGCTCAAGAAAAACAAAACTTTTTGTTAATACGCAGAAGGTGATGCAATTTTTTTGATTTTGAATTCGTTTGTATTACGTTACACCTGATCTTGGGTAATTCTACTTCTAAAAATATAAATTTAGACTACCCATATAAATAATGTTTTTAAATTGTGCAACATATCTGGCAAATCTTTTTTTGTTCATTTTTTCGCGTCTTTCACGTCTTTCAACTTCTGTGTATATCGAACGTGACATATATTACTAATGTTTGTCCTGTCTCTACTTTAGGCCATATAAAAAGCAGTGTATTTACAACCTTGAAATCTAAGAACCAACCACACGTTATAATTTATGTAAATGAGGGGCCATTTTTATTTTATAACGATTCTTTTTTTGACATTCACTTCCCACTTCTTTACCATTATTGCCTTACAAATATTCCAATAATTTCGTGTGTAATTATTAATGTGTTTTTAAATTGGCTGCATTACAAAAATTAAGTCGTAGCGAAGCGACGGGTTACACCTAGTAAAATATTAAAAAAGATATTCACTCCGGACACTTCGGACACTGCGACTGAAAAACATTTTAACGTTAGATGATCTCTACTATAGAGGTACAAAATTTTTAATCATTACTATTACGAAAAGTAATTAAAGTAACTTTAGCATACTCATGTTTCTTTTTTATAGAATATTGGAACCGTGATCCAAACATGTGGGGCAGTTTAAATGACTGGAATATATATTTTATTGAAAAAGTAAACCGATTCACAAAACACGATTCATATCGTTCATTGTATTTTGAACTTAATATACTTCTTACGGATTTTCCGGTCAATAGTCCAGAGCGCTCGCCTTGATGTAAACTTTAAAAGTTAAGTTGTTTATTCAATTAATAGGAGCATATTACCGTGCCCTGCGGTTGTTATCGAGCAACTACGGTTGCAGAAGGCAAAATGTTTTTGCCCGAAGTGGGAAGTATGTTATGGTCTGGATTTCCAAATCCCATCATAATATGCGTTGGTAGCTCCTCCATTAATTAGATTACTACCGTGCCCTGCGGTTGTTATCGAGCAACTACGGTTGCAGAAGGCAAGATGTTTTCTTGCCCGAAGTGGGAAGTATGTTATGGTCTGGATCGTTAGGTCCCATCAT